ATTTTAAGTATATAATAAAGGTATATATATATATATATATGAATATAATATATATATATATATGTGTGTGTGTGTGTGTGTGTGTTTGTGTTTGTATATATATATATATATATGTGTGTGTGTGTGTGTGTGTGTATGTATGTATGTATGTATATTTATTTACATATACCATATATATATGTATATATATGTATGCGTGTATGTGAGTATATATGAATCGATGCATCGATAGATCGATGTATGTTTGTATCTATCTATCTATCTATCTTCTATATATCTATTTATCTATCTATCTATGAACCTACGTACGTATGCGTGCATGTGACTATGTATATATATATATATATATATATTTATATATGTATATATATATATGCAAGCACCTGTATGCATCTACACATGTATGCATATACATATTTATATATATATATATATAATTATATATTTATATATATATATGTGTGTGTGTGTGTGTGTGTGTGTATGTATATCTATATGTGAATATATATATATATGCGTGTGTGTTTGTGTTTCTGTGTCGATGTGTATTCATGTATATGTATGTATATGTATATTAATGTTTATATATATATATATATATGTGAATATAGATATATATATATAAATATATATAGAAATGCAATATATGATATAGAAGCACATTTTATTTTTTTTATCTTACGTTTTTGATGTTTATTCACGTTATTTTACGTCCTTTTTTGTGCGAGTGGTATACGCTTGTCGTGTTTCTCATGGTGTGTATCCCGTGGTTCAGTTGTACATGTTTTGTTGCCACATAGGGAAAGACATTTACAAGAGCTGGTATCAATTCTATACAATAGAGACATAGAGGAAGGCGAGTGTGTGAAATCCCATATATCCATAGTCATACCTTTCATATTTCGTTTGTAGTTAAATTGCCTTCTTCCTTGTTTGCCGCCGGGCTCGCCACGGTTAACCCTCCACCACATCGCACAGCAAAAAGAAAGAGAAGCTGCGTTCAACACAATGGATGAGCTGGAGATGCTGCTGCACAAGGCCAAAGAACCGTCAGCAGATGAGCACTCCACAACCAAGGACATACAAACACAACCAGAACCAGCCAGTGCAACTGCGGCTGATGAGGGCCAAAGTGGGGTGGATGCGGAGAGTAAGACGACCCGGACGAGAGAGCGCTCTGGGAGTACAGACCGTAGGCGGGAACGGCGACGATCACGATCACGATCACGCAGCACAGACAGGACCAGGGACAAGGGCAGGGGTAGAGATAGAGGAAGCGACAGTACAAGGAGTAGTCATAGAGATCGGGATGGCACCAGAGACAGAGATCGAGACGCACCCAGGCGGAGTGATAGGAGCCACTCGCGCGAGCGTGAACGTGGGCGAGAAAGGGGCCGCAGGAGAGAGGAGCGTGATGCCCGGGATAGGCATAGGGACAGAGCTGACGATAAGCATGGGGACAGGCAGAAGCGCTCGAGGTGGAGCAACCGCAGTAGGAGCCGTAGTCCGGGTGCGAAAGCCCCGTTTAGCAGCTTGGATGCAGAGCCTGTGATCGACAAGGTGTACGACGGCCAGGTGAGTATATATGTGAGGTATATGGGGGTGTACCGGACCTTTGTAGCTAGGGTGTAGGTATGTTCTACAGGTGCAATAGCATGGTAGGCATGGAGTCGCCCAGTAGTGACTGTGGCAGGAGGGAATATTGCGATGTGGAATTATTAATTATTCTTCCCCATAGAACAAAACTTGCTCGCTTGTAAGTTTCCGCTTACTTGATTGTAAGTTACCTCCGCAGACAAGACATATATAGTAACATATGCTGCTTGTAATGGTGTTCGTATTGACTTGAATGTCAGTGGGGTATAGCAATCGACACTCCCCCTGATGCCACGGCTGTATCAAGTGTAGGAATGCACAACCAATAGTTATGTGTAGAATGCATACTAAGTGCTTCCACGAGTGTTTCGTATGGGACATTGGGCCTTGTCTAGGGTCGCTGTGTCCATCTGAGAGTATGTACAATTTCTCTTCCATCTCTTTTGCTTTCGGCTTGCACACTGATATCAACCGGCATGGAAGCAATCTTTTATGAATTGTTGAGTTTCCCGTCGACATCTATTGGTACACCTCTTTGGGAAAGAGATACTTGATAGCCAAGGGAGGAGCCTATTTTTGTAGTATGACTGTGGTTGGAGGATGAGCCTTTTGGACACTATGCGATCTTTCTTATATTCACTCGTAAAGGACTATCACAGTCCATTGGTAAACTTTACAGAATCGCTGTCTGTGTAGGTCTGTCTTATCTCGAGATCGAATGGAATAGTTGTACCTTGGTGTATATATTTTGCTTTTAGTGCGGAAGGGAGTAGATCCGCACTAAATTAGCTCAGGGGCTGCCGTATGGGATAGACTGTACCTAAATGTTCACGTTTTATCGAATTATTCCTGTTCCTCTCCAGGTTGGCAAAATGACGGACTTTGGAGCGTTTGTGTCTTTGGTTGGAGTTCAGGGCAAGCGCGATGGTCTGGTACACGTATCCCAAATAAGGAAAGAAGGGCGGGTGAACACCCCCAAGGACGTGCTGAGTATGTTGTGTTAGACCTGCTTCGTAGTATGAGTCTGTGCGCTTGTATTGTCTCTATGTGTGTGACAGCTACATTTGGCTGTAAAGTTGGGTGGCATTTATCTTCGGAAACAGATCCTCTGTACAAGATATACACTAGCGTTTTATTCTCTCGATGGGGTTAGATACCATTGGGTCTAGGATGTCACGTGTTGCTTGTCTATGTGAGTTCTGTGTGCATATTCTCAATGGTCGACCTTTGGTCACTTGTACATATATTTCGTCGGCCGGTAACCGTTTGGATATTTCGGAGGCATGAGTATTCACGGCTCAAATCCGGAGTATATTAATTCACAAATATTATATAGATATATATATATATCTATATATTTATATATATATATGTGTGTGTGTGTGTGTGTGTGTGTGTGTGTGTGTGTGTGTGTGTGTGTGTGTGTGTGTGTGTGTATGTATGTATATGTATATATGTATGTATGTTTGTATGTTTGTATTTGTATATGTATATGTATATATATATAATTCAGTCCGTTCGTATCTTTGATTAGAACTATTCACCCGATCTAATTGCAGGTCTTGGCCAGCGCGTTAAGGTCAAAGTCATGAGCATATCTGGCAGCCGCGTATCTCTGACCATGAAAAACATCGACCAGACCACTGGGGTCGACATGGCCCCCGAAGTTCGGGGAAACAACAACAGCCAACCAGAAGCAAGACCCTCTTTTCTGACCGGGGCTAATGCTGTGTTGGGGGGGGGCACTAATCCTGACCGGCCCAGTGTTTTGGACCAGATAGGTGTTGCGCCGTTGCCCGAGGGATATAATGAGGCGGATTCGAAGTCCGCCAGGAGGAAGCGACTGACATCTCCCGAGCGTTGGTATGTCGAACACGCGTAAATAGATACGGGTATACATCCTGTGAATCAATACACATTACTAGTCATTCTGTGGATGTAGATATAGCTTTTGCCCTCCAGGGTTGTGTATCCGTGCGTGCGGTCGTTATGCCCTGGGTAAAGTGGCGTAGAATATATATATATATATATATGTGCATATATGTATGTATGTATGTATATATATATATATAGGTATATATATATATATGTATATATATACATATATATATATATATATATATATATTGATCTTTATGTATATATAGATAGGTATAATTAAATACGTATGTATATACATATATATATATATATATATATTTATATTTATATTTATATTTTATAATATATATATATACATATATATATATATATTGATCGCTATGTATATATAGATTTGTATAATTATATATATATATATTATTATATAAACATATATATATATATATATATATATATATATATATATATATATATATAAGTTGCAGTCATGTGCTTGCGTGTTCAGCCCCATTGCACGCGAGCTCGTAGATGTTCGTATGCGTACATGTACACTCTACTGTAGAAAGTGTCTGCATGGCCCGTGTCAGCAGATGAGGTTGCTCTCCTTTTACATAGCTCTCATATTTTGGCCGCATATCCTCACATATATACATACCGTACCTGCTCTGTGCGGGTTTCGGCGTGAATGGTTATAGACTATCTCCTATCTATCAATTTTTCTGACCACCATGAAGCACTGTATATGCATGAGTTGCACCTGTATCTCTGACACACATACGCGTATCCGCCAACACACTACTTCACGTAACAGGGAGATTAAACAGCTGATAGCCGCCGGGGTGATGGACCCCTCGGACTTGCCCGAGTACGATGAGACTACGGGTGTGCTCGATACCGTAGACGCCACCCTGGAGGAGGTACGTTATGTGTGTTGTTATGTGTTGGGTCTGTGTTTCTCCTGCACTTCACTTCGTAGTGCAGATCCGGCTTCGACAGTTGCCTAACCTTTCCCACGCCTCACTGACTACGAATGTCTTAAACATGACACACGGCACCACAACTATTGCCTTATCAGGAAGTGGAGATTGAGATGAATGAGGTGGAGCCTGCCTTTCTGTCGGGGCAGACGCGCATTTCCGCGGCCAATATGTCACCTATCAAAGTGGTCAAAAACCCCGACGGATCACTGCAACGCGCAGCCATGACACAGACAGCCCTGGCCAAAGAAAGACGCGACCTCAGGGAGGCCCAGAAGGTAGGTAGACGCATGTGTGTAGAGCTGTATGGGTCAGGTGGTGTTTAGACTGATATATGTGTAGAGCGATAAGGCTCCGGAAACGTTATTTATTATGATATGAATAGGGCTACATGTTTGTCCAGAAGTAGTAGCTTTGTGAGGAGCAATGAGACCTCCAGGTGATTCAGAAGGCATTTAGACTCATGCCCGTATCACTAGACCTCCACAAATAGACAAGACGGCAATATATATAAATATATATGTGTGTGTGTGTGTGTGTGTGTGTGTGTGTGTCTAGTCGTCCACTCACTCCCGCAATCTACACACCCACAGGTGGCCGAAGAAGATGTTCTAGTGAAAGACCTCAGTAAGCCGTGGGAGGATCCGTCGGCGCAGATGGGTGACCGACAACTGGCTATGCAGGTCAAAGGCAGTATGGGAGGGCCGGCGGAGATGCCTGAGTGGAAAAAGAGTGTCATAGGCAAAAACCCAACCTACGGTAAGGTTACGTCCATGAACATCGTGGAGCAACGCAAGTCCTTGCCTATCTATGGGCTGCGAGACCAGCTGTTGCAGGCGATTGACGAGAATCAGGTGTGTGCGCGTGAGATTGTCTGAGTGTAGTTGTTTGTGTGTGTCCTTATACCTGAGTTGTGCTGTCTGTGTGTGTGGGTGGGGGGGGGGGTGTTATGTGAGAGGAGAGGGCCTTCAAGTACACGTCCTTCATATAGTTATTCATCTCATACATTCCACCTCGAATAGAATTGGTAGGCTTAGTACCATGCTCTACTTGACTCCCACGTGTACGCTTAAATATGTCTTCACTGGCGTTACCTTGCTAAACGTAAAACAGTTTGTACCAGCCTCTGCCTATAGACCGTATCCGTTTCACACACACATATATATATATATATATATATATTAATATACGCGTGCGTACCCTTACATCGACTCCCCTCTACACGCTCGTATGCATGTACGTACAGGTGATGGTGGTTATTGGTGAGACAGGGAGTGGGAAAACAACGCAGATGACGCAGTACATGATGGAGAATGGCTACGGCATCAATGGCAAGATCGCATGCACACAGCCTCGACGAGTGGCGGCCATGAGTGTGGCCAAGCGTGTCAGTGAGGAGGTTGGATGCCGACTGGGCACAGGTGGGAGTGTGTGTATGTACTATGTATGCATATTTATGTGTACGTATACATGAATATGTATAGGGTGCGTATGTGTGTGTGTGTGTGTGTGTGTGTGTGTATGTGTATACGTATATGTGGATATTGGTTTGCTCTGTGTGTCCCGTAGTCGGAATAAAACCTGTTGGGTATCGTCTGTGAGCGGCCCTGATGTGCGAATCTGTGCGTAAATCAGTTATCCTTTAATTCACCGTTTGGGCCTTCATATACCATCTCTTGGTGCAATCTACAGACTGACGCACTTGGGAAGTATACTCTGGGTGTATTTATATCTGATTTACCTTATGCTACCAGATGTTGGCTACACCATTCGTTTCGAGGACTGCTCGTCACCGGAGACCAAAATCAAATACATGACCGATGGTATGCTGTTGCGCGAGATTCTCATCGACCCCAAACTCACTCAGGTAATTAAACGCTGGTGTGTGTAGATTGTCTGATTACGCACACACTAGTGTATGTATATTGTCTGATTAAGTACACGCTAGTGTGTGTAGATTGTCTGGTTCCCCGAGTTTTCCGTGGCACGCGCACATTCCTCGCATCACCTCATCTCACTCGTTTCATGCGCATGTTTTGAACTTTCCTTCGTACTAGTATGCGGCTGTGATGATTGACGAGGCCCACGAACGTACTATCCACACCGACGTATTGTTTGGTCTACTGAAGAAATTGGTGAAACGAAGGCCAGACATGAAGGTACGTACGACGAGCTCATGTGTATGTGCAGTATGTGGAACGACCAACCTGTCATCCTGTCATCCTATCATTAGCTGTGTGTTCTCTGGACAGTACTGGTGGTCGGGTCATGGGTGCAGGGTCACAGCTCCAGATGGATTACGTACCTACCATGTGCTTGTCAATTAGGGTTTTAGGGTTCAGGCAGATGACCGCGTCCTTTTGTCTGTGTGACCCAGTAGCATACTCGCATACACGAGCACCAACAACACTATCCACTCGGGTATATGAATGAGACCTGTCCTAGCTCAGGGCATGAGAAGGGGAACCAGGTAGATAGCAGTGGGGTGTATACCAATTATTCGGATACATACTAACAAACCTACGGGTTGAAGTTACAAATACATGGATGCAATGTGCATCACTTCATACTGCACGACTATACCGCCGATGTACCTCGGTGTATATCTTTAGGTACCGAACTATTTTACTTTTGGGTGCGTGTGATACTCTCCACAGCTCGTAGGGAATGGCAACAGCCCTCCCACTACTCTCAATTGGATTAAAACAATTGTATTTTAAATATGAGGCTCTCAGATCTTGGAAGACCTGCTCCCAATCGGACTTCGCTTTGAGCTTCTTTGGGCTATGCTCAAGTCATTAGATGTGTATTGTTATATGTATTACAGGTTCAAGGATTTTGTGGGTCTGTCTGTCTGTGGAGTGCCGTTGTCGAACGAAATGCATGCATGTGTAAACGTAACCAAACCCTTGCGCCGATTCACGCACTACCCACTCCCACACTCACACTTACAGGCACACTCACACTCACACTCACACTCACTTACACTTACAGTCACACCCACACTCACTCACACTCACTTGCACTTACACTTACAGTCACACCCACACAAACTCACACCCACACCCACACTCACACAGCTCATTGTGACGTCGGCCACACTAGACGCCGAGAAGTTCTCCAATTACTTCTTCGAATGTCCCATCTTCACCATTCCTGGACGGACCTTCCCGGTAGAGATTCTGTACACAAGAGAACCAGAGACCGACTACTTGGATGCTGCGCTGATCACGGTCATGCAGGTGGGTGGGGTGTGTTCGTGCGTGCTCGTGTTGTGTGTGTGGATACTTGTGTGTTATGTTTTA